CTTAGGGCAGCAAAGAAACCCAAAACATTTTTTCCTTCACTGCTCACTAGCTCTATTTTAAGTCTAGCAGAGCTTCACGACGTGTAACAACAATTCCATCTGCTAATCAAACTCTAATATTGAGTGGCATTATTCACCTTCTCCACCCCACAAGTGAATCTCCCTTCCTTTTGTAGAGTTTTGTTGTGAACCTGTGTGCCCCCAGGGTCACAGCTCACACCCATGCTCATTTTACCAAGCTGAAGGGCTGCACCCAATTCCCACCTTGGAAGAAAATCTGAGGAAATCTTATACCAAAGCCAAGAAAAATGTTCATACCAGAAGAGACAAATTATATCTCCAACAGGAGCGTATGCACAATCCAGGAGAAGAAAAGTCTTCTCTACAACCAAATTTATAACTTAATGTTGAAGAGGGTGGTACTAATTTCCACCATATTTTTTTAAGCAATTTATAGTGAAAACCCAAAGCCCTAAGAAGTCTTAAAGACATCAAGTTTCATGTATGTTCCTTCTGTGGAGTACATGCTATGGTACCTTTAAAAAATCCCTGTGTTTGTTGAATTCCATATGAATCTTGGAAAAATCTTGCTGCAGTGAATTTGTTCTGCACACTTATTTCTTCCTTTTGTTTTTTTGTCTTTTTTTACTTTGAGATATGTGAAACTGTTGGCCTATAATTGAGCTCTATTTTATGTTCTTGCATTTGGAATCAGGGTAGGTGAGGAGCAACTCACTGGTAGTCTAAGCATTATTTTTTCATACTGCTAACATTTTTGTTTTTTTGCCTTTTTCTTTGCCAGTCATTTACCTTGAAATAAAATTACAGCTGTAGTTTATAAAATAAAAATGCTTTTACATACATCCATATAATCTTTTTATATCTAATAATCAGCAGGGAATTGCCAGAGGAAAAAAAGAAGCTTTTAACATTAAAAAAAAAAAAATCCCCACAAGAATAATAAATGAGATCTAGAAACACACCATGTTCTGTATTTCAGAACTAATTGGGTTACTCAGAATATGATTGCCAGCAAAATTCATGTCACCTTCTTTGGAGATGCAAAGACAGAGAAAAATTAAAGCCTATTAAAATTTGATAGTGGGAATGTGTTTGCTAAATGTACACTGAGTTGTGTTGCAGGAGAAGGAGGGAAAATCTGTTGAGTGGGAGGGAAAGGAGCAGCTGGGAGCCACAGGTCAGCTCCGTGGTCCCAGGAGTTCCTGGGGGTGTTTGGGGGGTCCTGCAGCAGCAGTGAAGACCCCAAGTGTCACAGCAGCAGCCCCTGGGCATGGGCTCCATCCAATTTCATCCTGCACCTCCCAGGAAAGGTGGGAGCCAAGGGCATCACCTTGAAGATACCCCAATTTTCAGGAAATAAAAAAGCTTTCCCCTTGAAATCTACTAGTTTGTTCCTTTTTGGCAGCATAAAGGAAAGGCAGGGCAGGAGAGTAAGAGGGCTTGGTTCCAAAATTTTTATTCTTTTTGTAGCTTCTATTTCATCCTTCCTAGGGGAACTTTTGGGTTGCTGAGCCTGACCTCTTTCTCACTTGCATGTCTAATCATTCAAAAAAAGAAACAAATCTGAAATAGAGGGAGCCTGAATGATCTGCATTCTTTGCAATTAAAAATATAGTGGAATATTCCCAGGAGCAAATTTCTATTTATCTTTCTTTATTTTGTCCTTTCTCATTAAATTATATGCCAATTTTTGGATGATTAAGTCCTCAGAGCATGTTTCTTGACTTCTTACTAGCCTGCAGAATGCCACACATGCCAACTGAGCTATTTAAATAATGGCAGATACTGGATCAGAGAAAACCTGTCAGAAGATCAGAATGCAAAAGAGCTCTCACTTCTGGCATCTCAGAAAAATGCTTCAGCTTTTCTCTGATCTCAGCCAAAGTCTTGACAAATTAAGTCTCACAAAGCTGTTGGAAGAATGGGGCCCTCACCAGTGTGAACTCCAGAGTCATTAGAAAGAGAACCACTAATTTCAATGCAAGAGGGAGCACATTCCCTAAATCTGCCTGTTAATAAAGGGCTCATTCCTCTCATTTGTCCTACAGCATGAGTCATCATTTATGCCTTTACAGAATAAGTGAAAAACACTGTTAACTCGGAATAGCTGTGTGATATATTCACTATTTGTGGGTGTAAATGACTATGCAAAATGCCTATGGGAAAAATCCATCCTTTCCATGGTGCACCTGACAGCCCAAAGCCACACTTAGTATTCCATTTCATCATCCTACTGGTCTTCAGCATGGTGCTTGGTGGTTTTTTAGTGAACAGACTGTACTATCCTCAGTTTGTGTGATATTTTCCAGCACTGTGAGGCTGTGGGTGTCTTGACAGGACTGCAAAAAAAGTGTTATTCTGTACCTTTGTCCTGTTCTGGGCATGCTTATCTGCACAAGGACCTTCTTCACTCTTTGGATTTCTTCTCTTTTTCTGATCATGCCATCTATGACTCAACAGCTACCCACTTGTGATTTTGCCACAAAAAGTAAAAACCTTCTGTTAATTGATCTTATTGGAATATTTTACCAGTTTCATCATGTTCCATCTTATGTTCCAAGGCTCTGCCCACATGCTGAGAGCTCATGTAATGTTCCTGTGGAACATTTGCCCCAACAATATCTAAGAAAAGGTTAATGGTGCCTGTGATCCTGAGCTCAGCTTCATGAAACTTTTGTGGCTGACAAGCCTGGACCTGTATTTATCAAGAAAAGTGAGTGCAGTGTGAAGAGGTTTCCTTTGCTGTTTCTCTTGGCAGCACAGAAAAAATCAGGGAGCATTTCAGGAGTAAGAGACTGACCAGTGCAGGTCTTTAATTGAGGTGGAATCCAATAAACCCAAAACTTTCAGGAGGCTTTTATCTAAGTTATCCCCAAATGAGCACACCCAGGTTCAAAGTATTTGCATTAAGGACAAGCTAGGAATATCCATGGGCTGCCAAAAGGGAAAAGGAAAGCAGGAGGCCTACTCTAATAAAATGCAGTGAATATTTGTCTGCACTGACAGCACTAAATACAGTTCACAGGAGCTGTTAAACTCCAATATCAAAAGCAGAAGCACTTCTGTTGTGCTGCTATTTTCTTTTCTTTTTCAAAATCAGAATCTGTAACCATCCTGACAGATACTAATGGTAATGGTGACACACCAGATGCTGGGGAAAAGCAGTTTTGCACAACTTTAGAGGCAGCAGTTATAATTCTAAAAAATCTCTCTCATAGATCATAATATTTCTTCTTCTACAAAAAGAAACATTTATTTTAAGGTTCTTCTGACCAGTCAGTCTATTACTGTTTACAGAGTTTCTTTAAGTACCAAAACCATACAGAAAGCAGACTGGGGTTGCTGGAAGTTTTGCATGTCCTTGCATTTACTGCAGCCCTACAGAAGGATCAAAACAGGTTTTTCCTGCTTTCATAGGCAATAAGCCTTTTTCAATGTCAACTCTTTTTGGAGGAGGAACTATCTCTTACTCTTGTAGATTGTGCTGCAATCAAGTTTATAATTGGTTCTAAGGTAACAGAAGTTAAATTTCACAGCAGGTGCAGAAGATGCAATAAGAAATCTCTATTTCAGGGGAATGCAAATGCCAGGAAAAAAATTGAGTGATTCTTTCAGCATCTACCATCTTAGGGGTTTGCAAGTGCCTTCAAACAGTGACTGCTGATGCTGGTAAACAGCTTAGTGTCAGAAATATTAAAAAGTGCAATACAATTAAGTGAACCGTTGGATTTTTTTTTAATATATAAAACATTTGAATGATAGATCCTACTGCACATGACCAGGACCTACCCATCTCCCTTATAATTTCTTAATGCTATAGTACAATGTCTTTCCAACTAGGATATCTAGATGCAAAAAAAGTTTGTTAAGTGATGACATCTGGAACTAAACTTGAGTGACTCCTCTAATTAGGAGTTTTTTCCC